TGTATGTCGTCTGATGCTAAAACCTTTTCGGAAACCGGCTTGTTCGGTAGGCTATAAGTCGTCGAGTCTGCGTGCGAGACGATTCGTACGGTAATGATTCTTGAAAACAGCACGTAGACGCGGCTCAGAAGGGAAATCGGTCTATAGTTCTTCATGAAAGCGTTGTCGCCTTTGTTGTAGAACAAGACCACCGCACTTCTGCTCCACGCCTCCGGAGTAGTACTCTACCACCAAGGAGGTTTTATGTGATAGAGCCATGCTGCAGTTATATTAGTAGTAAGTTGTAGCACGAATGGGTCGGCTCGACCGGGGAGGGACCACGCTCTCACAGAATACCAGCGTCAAATAGTAGCTTAATGCTACTGTGTTTCGTATGGTGAGTGTAGAGAACCGGAGACCCTTTTTACTGGAAACGAGGCATTCCATCTTAGTTCTCACGGGTGACAACGCATCTGCATTTTGATTCGTAATCGAGGATAGATGTAGATGTCTATGGGCCACAGCAACCACTTACTATCAGGTGGACTATGACCTCGTTTCCCTATCCTATTAAAAAAAAGGTTCCAAGAGGTTCCAGGTTAAGCATATAAAATAAAAAAACAGCTTTAATACACATATTTTATATATTACCATATTTTCTTATAGACGACGTATAAAGATCAAGATGATATAATTTTTCGTATCATGTCTAACGTAACAGTGTTACACAAACAGAATACAAAAAAATACCTAAAACGAAAAAGACGTATTACATATAATGGAGGGCGGCACTGAAAATTTCGGGAATCAAGGAAGTGACACAACATTACTATTTAAAAATGTATTTATTGCTTTTCGAAGTATTCTCCGCGAAATTTGACACATTTTTCCATACGATGGAACCAATCATTGAAGCAACCATTCCATTCGGAAGTTGGGGTCTCCAAAATGGCCGTTTTGTAAGCGTTCACAGCTTCTTCAGGTGATGAAAACCTCTGTCCACACAATTTATTCTTTATTTTAGGGAAAGTATAGAAATCATTAGGGCTTAGGTCGGGGCTATACGGCGGGTGGTCTAATAATTCTATGTTTTCTTGCTCTAAAAACTCTTTTGTTCTGTGTGCGGTGTGAGAACTCGCATTGTCGTGATGGAGGATGATGCGGCGGTTGCAATTCTCTTTACGGAGTTCAGAAACGACCTGTTGCAAACAAATGCTAGCATACCATTCTGCATCAACCGTTCTTTGTCCCTCAAGAGGAATAGTCGTAACATGGCCGGTTTTGGTGACAAACGTGGCCACCATTTTTTTTGCAACACTCCGTGAACGTACAATTTTTGTTGGCTTTAACTCATTTTCGGAAACCCCCAAACTCGTGACTGGTTTTTTGTTTCGGGTTCGTACGCATATATCCAGGATTCGTCACCCGATACGATGTTGTATACAGCATTTAAGGATCCTGCGTGGAATCTTTCCAGAGTTCTGACGCACCAAGTAACGCGAGCCGCTTTTTGCTCTTCACGGAGCGAACGTGGTATCCATCGGGAAAACAACTTTTTTACACCTAATTGTTCATGCAAGATTATTTGTATTTGACTCATGCCAATGTCTAAAGTTGCCTGAATTTCTCGGTATGTCACATGTTGATCTTCCTCAATCAGCTTACGCACAGCATCAACGTTTTCTTGGGTGACTGCAGTTTTTGGACGACCTTGACGGGGATCATCACTGAGCTTGACACGTCCACGTTGAAATTCAGCAAACCAGCGATAAATTGTGGTTTTGGATGGGGCTTCATCACCAAATGCAGAAATCATACGGGCAACACACTGTTTTTGTGTTAAACCATTTCGAAAGTCATAAGTCATAATAAATCATCGCTCTTTAATTTTCTCGAGTCAATTCCATTTTCTCAACGACTAAACAAGTTTGACAAAACCTTGTGACAAGACCGAGAATCTTTTTTTAAATAAATAAATGGTATTCGATTTTTAAAACCAAGGAGTTTTCAATTAAAAAGATTTTAATATGACAGGAACAATGGAAATATTCCATTCCCGATACTTTTAGTGCAGCCGCTGTAAATACATACAATAACCTTATACGAACATGATCTACCATCTACGTATAGGGATGATGTAAGGTATACTTTACCCCAATCTTATCACGTGGCATGAAAAACACGATACGCATATTGTAAGGGTACATATAAAAATATTACAGGGCAAAAAAATTAAATAAGTAAAAAAACTTACGAACACGAACTTATTCCAGACAGTACTCATAAAGGCCAAGATGACCATTCTCGCACTTCACGATTGGTCCCACGATATTTATAAGATATTGTTACAAGTATTTGCTCGTGTACTGTACATACTGCAATCCCTTTATATTTCCCACACATCATTATCTTTTACCACCCCGCTCGCGAGAACTTATCTTTTGATTACGTGGCATTTGCTTTCGAAATTTGCTCGGAAGGTGTACGAAGCGGAATTTTATCGACTCTAATCGTTTATTTTGAAGACGGGCCAAAATAAAAGTACCTATAACTGACGAGCATGTATGCCGTAGGTAATAATGTCCTCCAGATTGTATTTCAGTCACGGCAGCCAGTTTCAATGGAGACCAGCCATCGGCGCAGGGCAGGAAGTGCCTAAGTGTATGCATGCGCAAGCACAGGTGCACTCTTTATTAGCTTACTCTCGTGGTCCGATGGGACGGTAAACCGATACATGCAGAGATCAGGCACAGGACCAAAGGCATTACGTGCTTTCCGAGGTACGAGGGTGATATGGATATTAAAGCGATAGTCCCTCTGGATGACAAACGTGAGAGTTTATGTTTAATATGTAACAACGTTCACAGCAGCACGCAGAGGTGGATAGAAACGAAGGAAGACTGTGCTTCCGGGGAATGTGCACAAAATGGCATCTTAGCGCTGCTGCATTTCATACTGAGTAGCGGGAAGCGGACACGTGGACTGTCAACGAGCATTCCATTTTAATATCTATATAAATAGAAATCACTTGCCGCATGTATGAACGATCATCGCTGAGAATGGCTGGATCGATTTTGAAGAATTCTTTGTGTGTTTAAGTGGATACCTGGATGGTTTAAGATTCATAATTGGACCCGGTAGGTGGCGCTACTGTCGAGATCTACAAATCACCCGTGCGGAGCCGGGCTAATCGCTAAATTTAGATAAAAACCTACCGACGTCATCGATATAGGTGGGTCATAAAATCGACCCGTGATGAAACTCCACGCGTTTTTACTTATGTGTCTACAAACTTGTGTCTGAAGCCGAGTCATAGACTAAACAAAGACTTAAAGTCTCGTATTGGGGGGGACTAAATCTAGTCCAGTTAAACCCTCAGAAGTTATGTTTGTGAGTTTAGTCGCTAAAAGGAACCCTATTTTTCAATCAGTTTTCCTCAATTTCAGGACACTCCCCTTGTTGACTCAGACAGCATCGGACTCCTCGCCGTCGACATATCTAATGAAGTTTAGTTCCGCGATCACTTGGAAGGGAAGGCCAAATTGGCCTATAAAAAGGTGGGTGCCGGCACGCATGCAAATTTACAAAGCGCAAATCGATTTCACAGGAAATACTTGTCTCATCTCTGGGCCATGACATCCCAGTGCCAGATTCTTCTACTTGACCGTATCCGGATTAAAACGGCTCGTATAATCGACGGCTGAGTTCCTACTGATTGTCTTAATTCACTGGCTCATGTAATTTTATCGAATTCAATATGGGCATTACTCCGAGAAATTTTTGGGCTTAATTCCAGACGCCAAATTCCATCATTGCACATTGCATCAAAATTTTCTATACAATCCATTCCCTCTGGATGCTTGGCGGTCCAGCGATGTGCGATTTTCCCGAAGTATTCTTCCTTTATACTTTGTGGAAACAGCTATCATATAACTTTTACAAGGCCGGCAACGTATCGGCAATTCCCTTGCTGTTCATGGGCGACGGTAGTCACCATCAGTTGAACCTCGTTGGCCCCATCTTAATTTTTTTTAAACTCGTATATATTTATAAAAATATTACCGTAGCGGTCAGCCGCCGTAGAGTTTACATCACCTGAGTCTACATCATCGTGTAGAGGCGAAACACTTGTCGTATTGTCGTTGATGGTGTGTCTTATCTGAAATAGTGGTGTTGGAATAGTGGTGTTGGAATAGTAGTGGTGCCGGGAGTAGTGGTGTTGGGACTAGTGGTGACGGAGTTAGTGCATGCAATTGAGGGAGAGCGGGAGGTGCTCTTCAATCCATGTAAGACACAACATTGTATTTAGTTAGCGGAAGGTTGCGAAGTAATTAATATTTTTATCATAATGGATTTCCGCAAAGTAACGCCTGAATCTATAATTATCATATATATTTTGTATGCCACAGAAATACTTAAAACTCGATATGCCGTGAGTCCCACCCACAGCACAAAATCCTTTCTATCTAGGTCTACACTATTACAGTTTGTGATTATTAATGTAATAACAGATAGCCGATCTCCCATTTAAGAATAAAAATAAAATCTACATTTGCGTATATTAAGAAAAACTAATATAAAATCAATATATTACATATTTTTTAGCATAAAATCGTTTACAATTTGTGTATAACATTGTTTATAATATACATTATATATCATTGATTATACACATGCTTACGAGTTTACATAAAATAAAACAAATACTTATCAACTTACATAAATTGAGTTAGGAAATATGGAATCATGTGTATTACAAACATTTTGGAAATTGAGTAGCTTTTTTAAGCAAATGCTGACGGCTTCAAAAGCCCACCACAAACTAATTTGACATTTATCATATCACTTTAACTTAGATATTACAATCATTATTTTTTATCTGTAATGCACACTGGCAACAATAACAAACAAACGAAATCGCACCCTTTAATTTATTTACATTTATGTTTTACGTGTAACTTAACATTAAATGTATTATAATATATTAAATGAATAACATGATACATATATATATATATATACTATGCTTTTTTATATTCAATTCTTTCTACTTTAACATCGTCGCCTAGTAGTTTATATACGTATGTGACAACTGTCGCACTCTGGATATCCATAAGCACGAAGGAGGGTGTTGGATTTCTGAAAAAAAAAAATTGGTTTAGTTAATTTATTAGCGTTTGAGACAACTCAATCAACTACTTTTTGTCCTAAGAGTCGGTGCAGCCTGTGCCCAGTAGTGGGATGTATCTAGGCTGCTACTTTTTACTTTTGATAGGGCTATCCACTGCTGATCATTATTAGACATCAGAAGTAGTATTCACGTTTGGCAATCTGGTTGGCCACCGCAGTTTTTTATTATTTTGCGCTGTTATCAATAAGATGCTGCCACCTATCTCTTGTTCTCTCAAGGTATCTCACGTTTATTTTTAAAGTTAAGTTCCAATACAAGTCAGTCGATATTCCTTTAGTAACTGGTCTGCTAGCTAGCGCTCGCTGTAAATTCCACATTAAGCGAGCAAACCGGGTTTGACCTCCGCCGGCACCATTGAAATTGTTAATTGCAATTTTAAGTACTGATTTACCACGTGCTCGGCGGCGAAGGAAATCATCGTGAGGAAACCTGCATGCCTGAAAAATAAAAAAAAATATTTCAAAGGCATGTGAAGTTTGCCAACACGCATTGGGGCAAGCGTGGCAGACACTTCCTTGCCCTAAAACCCTGTATGAAATTTGAGGAGGCCTGTGCCCAACAGTGGGACGTATATAGGCTGTAACTGTAACTGTAACTGGTCTGCAAGAGGCACCGAGGTGAACCAATTATCAAAGGTTATGTTTCGTCCAGAACCTTTGATGCTCTCAGCTAACTTTGTGACGTAGTCTGCCAGCGTCTTCGCCTCGGTTACTTTGCCTATGTAAGGAATTGCGTCAAACATATAATATGTTTTAGCATCACATATGGCCACAACTTTCATTCCATATCTGTCCGGTTTCGAAGATGTATAAACACGAAAGGGACACTTTCCTCGAAAATCAAATAGTTGCCAATTTCGATTACCGCGTTGTGGGCATTACTAAACTTAGTCGCAATTTTTTACAAGGTGACATTCTACCAATAGCCAATATTGTAATAATGCCACTTTTACCATTCAAACTAGGACCATTACTACTGTAACTATTACATAGTGAAAAAGGTTAGAGAGATGCCAAACCAATTTAGAGGCAGAAATAAAGTCTTAATAATTTAGGATAAATTGTAATATGTTATGATTTCTTAAATTTACGCGAACACTACACATTGAATAAAAACTAATTTTACGGATTCTATCGCGTTTATTTAATTTATTTTACTTATTTTTAATTCCCGACGTTTCGGCTGCTTTAGAGCACCCATGGTCACGAGGGGGGACTGAGATATTTGACGTCATAATGCCATAGTTAGCCCGGCTACCTTCAGTTTTTTGATATTAATTTTTCTGTCCGATTTACGCAAAACGAGCTTGCAGTATCTTGAAGTCTTGTAGTGGTATGCTTGGGTTTGGGTTTAATTTTGTTAATTATAGGATCCCAAGCAGATGGCAGCACCCAACCATCTTCTCTATTGAAATTAGGATGTTTTTCAATTTCAATAGCCTCACGTATCATCCTTGGTAGGAATCGGTGTTCTTTTGCGACGATTTGTGGTTTATCAAATCTGATGTAAAGGTGGGGACGATCTTGAACATGTTCACAGACGTCTGTGTGTAAAATTAATACAGACGTCTGTGAACATGTTCAAGATCGTCCCCACCATTACATCAGATTTGATAAACCACAAAACCTCGCAAAAGAACACCGATTCCTGCCAAGGATGATACGTGAGGCTATTTAAATTAAAATGTACACAAGTAGATTTAACCCATAAATAAAATATATTTTCAACAGTAAAATTATGAAAGACATGGCATTACTCAATTCATACATTTCAATACAGTGGACACTTTAAGTATCACTTATTAAAATATCACTTATTCGGCCGAATACGAATATTCGTTAAAGCTGCCGAATATGCCGAATACCGAATATAAAACGAATATTCGGTCCATCTCTAATATATACCACTAACATGTATACTTGTCACATTTACAAACATAGCGGTTTATTATGTAGAAGGGAAGAAGAAGAAGAAGGGAGAAGAAGACTAACTGCAAAAAAATAATACACATGACTCTAATGAAAAATACCACTTTAAAGCTAAATATTTCGTAAACGGACCCCTAGATCGAAAAGATGTTCGCCCGTACCCCCAGTGTTTTTAAGACATATCCAATGATACCCCACACAATGAAATATATAGGGGGGGAAAAAAGTCATCCTCCGGTATGGGAGTACCCAAGGTAAAAATGTTTTTTAAGATTTTATCACACAGTTTTGTAGGCGTGATTAATATCCATAACTATGCCAAATTACAGATTTCTAGCACCTAGGGTCTCTGAGTACAGCCGTGAACGGACAGACGGATATGGCGAAATTATAAGGGGTCCTTGTTACGTAGCTATGGAACCCTAAAAACTAGCACACTGATCATTTGATGACAAATGGATACTGTGACCCATAGACATAATCTGCATCAAGCGTCGATTAAGAATCAAAATGCAGATATGTTATCACCCCTGAGAACTAAAATGAAATGCCTCATTTACAGTAAGAAGGTTCTCTCTCTGGTTCTCACACCATTAGAAATATAACAGCTTTGAGCTACTAATTCATTTTTTCACAAAGGACAATTGACTCTCAATTGTCATTGTGCAGAATTAGAGTCGGTAGAAACTCAAACTTACTTAGGACTTATAATAGATAGTCGACTCAACTGGAAACATCATATTGAGGATGTGTGTAATAGACTTCGAAGCATATTAGTAAAATTCTCCATAATTAAGTATAAAGTCCCTTATATAATTCTGCTACAATTATATAAATTCCTGGCTGAATCTAAAATTTCATACGGCTTGTCGAGTTATGGACGAACTTATAAATCACATTTAGATAACATTTATTCATTGCAACTACGCATCTTAAAAACTATAGTCCCAGAACAAATTAAAAACTTACACAGAGATTCTGATTACCATAACCTATTCGATTACTGCAAAATTATACCGGTGCATAAAAAAAGTAGAATATACTCTCTTAAATGAAGAATTTTTTAACGAAGATTTAAAAAAATATGGCATTTCTAACTATTCTAAAACCCGCAGTGTGGCCAAACCAAAATTAGATAAACCTAATTATAATAATTTATACGGAAAACATACTTTAGAATACATGGTTCCGAATTTAATTAATCATTTACCAATATCTTTTCAAAATGAAATTAATCATAAAAATATTAAACACAAATTAAAAACTATTATATGAATTGTATATATCATATTTCAGAATTAAAAAATAATAAAATTAAATACTATAATCACCACTAACTATATTTCCTATATTTACCTATATGATATACAACCTAAGAATAATCATTATAATCGTTTACTATTAAATATTAAGTAACTAACTAATTGATACCCCCTCTATATGCAACGCAGGAACGACCGGTTTTTGACGCAGTGAAGTGGGCGGTGGCAAGACTCACACCTTTCTTGTTCACTATGAGTTAACTAGGTATGTATTGCCGATTTACCGCGTGTTGACCGTGCCAATTGCTGTTTAGTGTTTAATAGTGTTGCGTTAAACATATTTTTGTAGATTAAGGTGTAGCTATTTAAAAAAAAATTATGTCGGCGGTCTGTGGTACACGGTAAAGTTTTTCATTAAGCTTATGTTGTACCATATTATATCCTTTTTATCATGTATAATATGTTAAATAAATAAATAAAATAAATAAATTCACGCTGATATTTTATGAGAGTGTGATCCTTCCCCGAGTCAAGCCATTCATGCTACAACCATAAAATAGTTACAGCATGGTCCTGTCACGTAAACAAAAAAGGTTAACAAAATGTTGAATATACCTGAAAAGTGGACTATAGGCTCCAGTCGCTGAACCAGGATTGATATAAAACTTGTTTTCATGTTCATAAGCTTCGAATCGGTGCGTGTGGCCAGATATCAAAATATCGACGTCAAGCTGTCGTTGCACTAAGGCCAGGGACTCTTCATCTCCCCACGGTACTACTTGATGGCCATGAATCAAGCCAATGCGGAACTGACCCACTGTTATCACTTTTTGTTCTGGGTATGTAGAATTCTGAAAGTTGTATTAAAGAAAATTATTATGACAGTATCTTTTCAATATACTGTCAATATATTCATCATTGGAATTTAAAAACTATTGCGGGCTCCTGCTAATTGTAGGCTACATCAGGATCAGGAGATGTATGTAGCCTATCAAAAGTGCACTGCTGAACAAAGGTCTGAAAAATTATTTTTGGTAGTTTTTTATTATTTTCTTTAGCTAGGAGGATGGTGCTGCCGTCATCTCCCGCTTTAGTATCCCTCTGTCGCCACTTATGACACCCTAGGAGTGATATGAGGTAGTGGATAAGTGGTAAGTAATGAGTGAAGATCATACAATATGTATAAAAAACCCCATCCGATCTGTGAGGCTACTTTTAAGTATTGAGATATGATTCTTTCCATGTAATCTTTTTAGTAAATAAATAAAAAAAATATTTACATAAAATGTAAAATTCAATTAAATATGAAAACTAACATAGCACTGGCAGCCTTCAAGAAACAATACCATCTGGTGATACACTTTCAAACTTACCATCACTGATGACGGTATTACCAGAATTTTAAAAACTTACTAAGTTTTAAGCAAGTTGTACGAAAAACAAGGAAAAACATCATTTTTCTATTTATAATAGTGCTTTTTTTATAAATATTTATGGCCCACAGGCCCATATGACACACACATATTTACATATTAATGTGCCCCTTTCATAATTTCATTGGTGCCGCCAGGGATCAAACCTGGGTTACTCACATATTGTGAAATTTACAGCGAGAGCTAACCATCTGAGCTACCATGGCTCTTTATGCTTAAACACAACATATTAATATTAATTGGCTCAGCAGTTGTTGCTCTGTCCACACGAGCACTCTTCTCTGCCCACAAGTGGCAAAATGAGTTTCAATCCATACTTTTTACAGCACATCTAGCCTACCAGCATAGCTATGAACCAAGATCCGAGCAAAAAAAAACATCTCCATTGGAAAAATCGTTCCAGAGTTACACAATTACCGACTACTCATCTAATAGAAAATAAGAATAATAAATTAAAAAGATACAATTCATGAAGGCTTTTTTACTACTAAAACTGTGAATTTAGCACAGATTTTAATGTGAAATCTTTGAATATAAATAAAAAAATTAAATTGCAGTCTTCAAGCGTTTCACTAAAAGGTTTCTGTGTGGGACAAGTGAAAAATAGTGAGTAGGGCACAGATAGTGATATATATTATACATTTGAATTTATAGTTTAAGTAAATAATAGTTATAGTTTTAGGGTGTGTTCTCATACTTGTATAATAGACTTAGTTTATACGTAAATAAGTTATATGTTATTTATTGAAATAGTTACATACTATTATATAAAATTATAAATTCAACATATAACAGTCAGCAAAAAGCACCAATTAGTCCAACCAATATTTTATTCATATTTCAAATAAATAACTGAAATGCAATATTAATAATTTTTATTTTTGTATTATAGGAATAAGAACTTTACAGTTTGTAGCTTAGAAATAAAAACTTTTATAAATAATCTAAGATTAGTTTTTACCGAACTTTTCATTTGGTAAACAATTGGACTTAAATTAAGAAGACAGGTAATGATAATTAACGAATGAATTCTAAATGCGAGTTTTAATAATTCATAATAAACAATAACAATATGAGTATTACGATAATTCATAGGGTGGTTGGAATTAAAATGAAAACTCACTGTACTATTTGGCAAAAATGGCAATTTTAGACTGTTAGATTAAAAATGTGAGTGATGTTATTCTCCATTTAACTAGGGTAACAAATAACCCTAGCATAACTTTTTTACATCTCAGTTGCTTATAATAAAAAATATAAAATTATATATTATATATATTAGAGGCAAATGGTGGTGTAAAAACACTGGAGACACTGCCCTTTCTGGCAGCATCCTATTTCTTTTGGTTTTGTACATATTGCCAGCTTCGGAAGTCTCTCGCAATACACAGAGAGACTCTTATCTGCAAGATTCCACATTTCAGGATATCTTTTTCTGTCACCACTCCACCACTCAAATCAGCTGACAACAAAGTTACCCAGGTATTGCCGATACCACCCAAACTCCGCCCAAAGCAATGATCAGCTCGGCCTTGACTAGTCGGCCAATCGGCTAGTATATTTATTTATTTAAATAGATACACAGTGTAATACAGTGGAAACTCGATTAACCAGACTAATTGTTGCCATTAGGGATTCGGATAATCGAAAATCCGGATAATCGAATGTATGAAGAAAAGCGGGTTTTGTGCATTTGTAGTACATACATACATAATGTTGTGTTTATTAAAAACAACAATATCAACGAAAATCAATGTGTATTAAGAAATTATTAAGAGATACATTTTTCAATATACAATGTATGCACTTATTTGTGTACATACATACATATTTTCTTAGATTACACACAATTGCAAGTGTACAACAAAATTGAATCGGCATTTTTCTTAATATCACTTATTGTGGATGTACCTACACCATACTTATCAGCTAACTTACGACCAGTTTCTCCTTTTTTTAATGAATCAATAATATTTATTTTGTCTTTAAGCCATAACACCACTCTCTTACAGTTTGACAATTGCTAGCTAACTAAAACAATAACAAAACTTTTGTTATTGTTTTAGTTTTTGTTACGAAACGCGATCCCGCAGGGCAAGGTCGGGGTAATGCCAGTATCAACACGTTCAAGCTTGCATAAATTCGATATGTAGTACATATGTTAAACACTTTGTAACTTGGCTCAATATGACTTAATTATTTAATTGGTCGCGGTTGATAGTCCGGATAATCGCGAATCCGTATAACTGAGGGCCGGATAATCGAGTTTCTACTGTACTACATTTTTAGATAAAGGATATGTCTTTACAGGTGTATACATCAATATAAGAGAAAAAAAAAACCTAAACAACATATAAACTCTAAAACAAAAAGGTAAACTAATCAATCAAAGTAAAAGCACCACATCTAGTAATAATTACAATAAATAATAATTTTGAATTTTTAGTCTGGCAAGGCAGGTAACAGTAAGTCTTTACATTTTCTTTTAAATTCACGTTCGGGGTCGCTGCCGCTGTCGCAGTATACAAAGACTTCCTAAATGTCTTACCAGATGTTGAACCACCTTAAGCTTCGTCATATGGTCAGCAGTGAAAGACTACATCCTAGACCAATATGTCATCACTAACAACATGCACTGGTCCTGCTCACGCACAACCAGTGCCAAGACATTTATACCCTATTTTCTCTTATTTTATTTAACATAAAGTAACTACACAACCTTAAATACTATAAAATGTTACCTCATCAAAATCTCCCCTCACTACATGTACATCACTAGCCAATGTTTTGAGATAATCATATGACTCCTTGGTACAAAGGTTTCCAGTGCACAATATGTGTTGAATGCGCCCGGGTAGGAGCAGCTTCTTAAATTTTGGTGGTAAACTGCTGCATCGATGTGGAATGTGTAAATCTCCAAGAACAAGGACTAACTGCAAAAACGATATTAATTACTGTTATTACTTGAGATATTTATCTAGTATTTTCATCTGGGTGGGATGTATAATATATATAAAAAATTAATAAGTAATCATTAAATATAGTAAAGTAAATAAATAAATAAAATTCTGACCAGATAGAAGCCCTGAACGGGCAAGACCAAACAGCCAAAGAATAGAAAAAGAAAAAAAGGGCAGGAGATGTAAGCAATATAGAGGAGTACCACCATCCAGTAAACGGTCACAGTCCCAGGATAAATGTGAACATCAACAGGAACAATTCCAATCAGCAAACCACATGTCAGTCACCTTGTGAGTCAGATTCAGATATTATGTCTTCTAATCTATTATGAATATTCTTGACAATCTTACACCTATCTATTGTCACAGTATTATTATGGGTGATTTTAATACTTGTCTTTTAAAAAACAACGCTAGATTAATAAAACTTAAATCTATTATTGAAGCAGCAAATTTAAAACTTCTTCCTACTTCTGCCACACACTTTTTCCCGAACTGTGCCCCTTCTCTTCTCGACATAATGTTTGTGTCTTTACCTGACCATGTTCTTAAATTTGGGCAACATGCTGCTGATTCTTTTTCCTATCATGACCTTTTATACTTGTCATACAAAACTCATCCCCCTATAGCTAAGTCAAGGATACTACTTCAGCGTAACTTTAGTCACTTGGATTTGGAGCAGCTTTTAAATGACGCTGTAAAGATTGATTGGAGTGTAGTCGTCAATGCGTCTACTGTTGATGAACAGGTTGCTTTGTTCAACTCTCTGTTAATTCAGCTTTACGACATTCATGCTCCTGTTCATCCAGTGCGTGTAAAGCATCCTCCCTCTCCTTGGCTGACCGATGATATAAAAAAAATCATCCACATTAAAAATTGTGCCAAAGCTAAATACAAGTCACTTCCTAGCGATTTGAATAGAGAGAAGTATAGATTAGTACGGAATCGTTGCAACAATCTGTGTAGAAAAGCACAACGACGCCATATACATGAATCAGTACAAGATCCTGACATGATATCTTTCTAAGTCCTTAGGAGTTGGGCGATAAAATCTCACACACCATAACTTTGATCTCAATCAACTTAATTTGCATTTCTCATCTTCATCTTGCATTAACAATAAAGCAAAACGTAATACTTCATTACGATTCTCTTTCAAAAGCTCCCACTCCAGACACCTCTGCTTTTCATTTTAGCCAATTTAACAGTTGTGACGTTAAGAGAGCCATAATTTCCATCCATTCAAATTCGATTGGTAGTGACTGCATTAGTCGCAAAATGATCATCACTCTCATTGATCTCCTTTTACCTATAATCACGTCTATCCTGAATAATTCACTGAATTCTGCTTTTTTCCCTTCAGCTTGGAAAGATGCATTTGTAGTTCCTCTTCCGAAAAGACAAATCCCTGTAGTTTATCTGATTATAGACCTATCTCTATTTTTCCTTTCTGTTCCAAAATTCTAGAATGTCTTGTGCACAATCAATTAAGCACCTATCTTTTAAAACACAATCTTTTAAATCCCTTGCAATCCGGTTTCCATCCTGGCCTTAGTACGACTACTGCACTTTTACAAATCACTGATGATATTCGGTATGGTATGGAGAAACAAAAGCTTACCATTCTCACGTTGCTTGATTTTAGTAACGTCTGTTTAATACTGTAGATTTTGATATCTTGTTAAGCATCCTACGCTCTCTCAACATATCTCCAACTGTAGTTGACTGGTTTCGAAGTTGCTTGTTTGGTCGCCGACAGCGAATTCAGATGCAAGAGGTTTTTTCCACTTGGACTACTACAGCTGCTGGTGTACCACAAGGTGGCGTGTTGTCTCCTCTCCTTTTTGCAATTTTCATTAACTCTATAAGTCATAATTTGTCCTCTTCCTACCACTTGTATGCTGATGATCTCCAAATCTATACTCAGTCCTCTCTTGAAGATCTATCTAAAGCAGTTGATACTATTAATGCTGATCTGACTTGTATTTCGAATTGGAGTAAATGTTATGGTTTAACGATTAATTCCAAGAAAATTCAGGTCATTGTCATCGGTAGTTCTCGATTAATTTGTAAAATTGACTGGTCTTCCCTACCCCCTATTATACTATATATACTATTATACTATTATACTAGACTGCACTCTAATCCCTATAGTAACAAGGTTAAAAACCTAGGGTTGTATCTTGACTCCTGTATGTCTTGGACCTCACAGGTTAATGAGGTCAGTAGAAAAAAGATTGCTGCGTTAAGCTCTTTACGTAGATTACGTAATTTCCTTCCCACAGCAACTAAAGTTACGCTTGCCCAGTCTGTACTTCTGCCTATCCGTGACTATGCTGATATTTTCTATCTTGACATTACCAAGGAGCAGCTAAATAAGTTTGAGCGCATTCAAAATTTATGCATTAGATTTATATTTGGGCCTCGCAAATATGATAATATCTCCGAATTTCGCAAACAGCTCAAATGGCTCCCGATCCGCCTTCGCAGGAATACTCACATTTTCTCTGCGTTGTATAGTGTGCTGTTTAATCCTTCTACTTCTCTTAATTTAAAAAACCTCACTTCCTTTCTCTTACCCATAATCGGTTCCTTCGATCCTCCGTCAATATTTATCTCTCTACACCTTTGCACTCTTCTTCCTTTTTCAAGAAATCCTTCCCCATAACTGCTGTGCGATTGTGGAACTCCTTACCTCTTCATATTCATCGTGCTAAATCTCTTCACTCTTTCAAAAGTCTTGTTAAATCGTATTATTTAGAACGCTATTAGATAAATTACTTTACCTTTCTCATACTCTTTTCATTTAATCTATTATATGATGTTTTATATATAACTTTCACTTATTTTTATTTGTATGTATTTTTATATTAATATATTTTTTTTTATTATTATATTGTATGCCCCCCTCTATTTGCAACTTTTGTTTGCATCATTCCTCTACGCAAAGGTTGTCTGGAAGAAATCACTTTCAGAGTGATAAGACCGCCTATTGTACATACTTTAATTAGTTTTAACTATATTCTGGTGTACAAAAAAGAATTAATAAATAAATAATAAATATGACCATTATTATGTAACTACTTACAAAAATTATGTGTTTATGAAAATCACATTCAACCCAAATACCATATATTCTAAATTTGGCTCAAAAAGTAATAAAATAACACCCATGCCCAGGCCTAGGTAATACAGTGAACATATAGCTAGCATTGAACACACTCCCTCAAAAAAATTTAGTATTTTATACCTGTAGATGGCGTAAAGCAGATATCATGATTTAAAGTATATTTAACTTGCTGTTAAAAGCTATTAGTCTTGTGTAGTTTGCGAACAATGAATGATTAGGAAACATATCTTGGCACTGTACTAAAATAAATGTTTCTGAATGCTGATTGTTAATCGATCTAACAGCTGTTTTCGTACACTTGCAAGATGCCAACACCAAATGTAAACGTAACTCGAGAATCGGTAAGTAGTTAATCAAGGACAAGTGTACAAACTAATAAGAAGTACTAGCGCTAATAGAACTAATATAACCAACTAGTTCACTGTCTGAAATAAACTAGTACGGAGCGATCTTGAAAATGACCGAGCAGGCACAAGACTAAAAACTATACATTTTATCATTATCACCAACATAGTCAAATTTTAGCAGTTCGCTATAGACCTTCCGCTAGTAAAGCGGACATGCTATATTTCGCACATTTTATTATTAAATTTACCAATTTTTTCCGTTAAAATATATTTCCAAAAAAGAGATAGCGTTTATAGAATTACTTAGGAAAGTAAACACACACAATTTTACAAGATTATCATAAATACAAAACAATATAATGTGCTGTGATAGTGATTTCTTTAGGAACGTATATTAAAAAATAACTAACCAGAAAAATGTGTATAAGTTAAACGTGCTTCAATGTTAATTAGCCTGTGATTAAGTGAAAATTAAGCCAAATACAAGTAAAGGTAGACCATTGGAATACATAAAAACAAAATTATTTCATTACCATTATGTTTTATAGAAGTTGTATTTTATAAGATCAGTCCTCTATCTCAAAATATATATTGAATATCTGTGTTATTTCATAAATTTAGTGTTTTCTTAATAAATAATTGTTCATCAGTAGTACCTCCCACTATTTAACCATAGATAAATAAATTGATAAATATAAGTAATATAACCAAAAGCGACCATAGACAAATAATTATATAGCGTAGACCGTAGACAGAGAAACCTATAGACTAATGATCGGCGTGGCCTCGAGTGAGAAAGGACGATAACGAATTTTTAGGTTATACAATAATCTTTATGACTTATAAACACATTTAGATAAAAAATTTAATTGTTCTAAGAACTGAACTGAACAAGATTCACCAATCTTAGGCTCACAAAACACTTTTTTCTCACTTAAACCAACTTGTAAACTCCTTAAATCGCTACGCTTTTAAAGTTGTTTAGCAAACTGTAGAGTTTGCTAAACAAAAAAAACCGGCACGGTGAAAGGGACAAACAATCACACCGCTCTATCTCATTTCTATGCAAGACGTATGCATAAATCTATCTTTTTCGTGTGCGAATGCGAAAGAAGGCGTCAATTTGTCTATAGGTTTCTCTGCCTACGGCGTAGACAGAGAATCCTATAGCAAGCATCGAGCAAGCATAGACGTGATGTATATAAATATTAGGCCCGCCTCTTACATGCGGAATTCCGTTTCGGGACTCCGTTTCGGACTTCCGATTCGGGTTTCCGAACGCAGAAAGTCCAAATAAAATCACATACCTACGGCCCGTCACATGCCTACGGTAGCTTACCGTACTAAATTTTGCGAGCAAAACAGGATTCCTTATGTGTATGGCCGATCCGTTCGTTCTGTATGTGGTGTCAGGAATGCCTTATTCTAGCGACAAATTAAAAGTCATAGACAAAATTTAAAATAATTTAATTATTTAATATACGCATGGAACGTAGACAGAGAAACCTAAAGACTAATGATTAGCGTGGCCTCGAGTGAGAAAGGACGATAACGTAATTTTAGGTTATACAATAATCTTAATGGCTTTTAAACATATTTAAATAAAATTTTTAATTGTTCTGAGAACTGAACTGAACAAGATTCACCAACCCTAAGCTCACAAAACACTTTTTTCAATTAAAACAACTTGTAAACTCCTTAGATCGCTACGAACTGTCAAAGTTGTTTAGCAAAGTGTGGTTTGTTAAACAAAAAAACCGGCATGGAGAAAGGGACAAACAATCACACTGCTATGTCTCATTTCTATGCAAGACGTATGCGTAAATCTATCTTTTTCGTGTGCGAATGCAAAAGAAGGCGTCAATTTGTCTATAGGTTTCTCTGTCTACGCCATGGAAAAAACCAAAAGACCAAAAGAGTAAACCAAAGAGTTGTTGTTGTCGTCGTTGTTTCGATTCGCTGTCAACGACATAAAAATAAATTCCTTAAATACGCTTTGTTGCCTGTCTACATACATTTTAAGTTAGGTAAAACTAGTTTTTAACTTCTGAACGCATCTAAAGCGTCAGTTTAGCCGTTTTCAATAAAAAAATATTTCAAAGAGAGAAAATTCAAAAATAAAATAACTTTATTCTGTCAAGGTGGAAAGTTTTGATGTCACTATTATTCGGTGGATTGATAATTGTTTTCTGATATGAAAAGCACGGTCCTGAGCCACCTGCATCCATCGACTTCCTGAATGTCTTACCAGGTCATCACTCCATCCAGGGGGGTCATCCTACACTTCGTCTACTGGTAAGAGGCTGCCACTCGAGAATCTTTACCTCAACGGTTGTTGGTTCTTCGAGCTATATGGCCGGCCCATTGTCACTTCAAGAAATAAATTCGTTGGGCTATGTCGGTCACTCTTATTGTACTGCGGATATCCTCATTTCTAAGTTTATCACGCAGAGAAACCCGAGCATAGCCTTCTCCATAGCTCGCTGAGCGACTTTGAGCGTCGTCATACGCCCAGCAGTGAAGGACCACGTCTCAGTTCTATAGGTCATCACTGGCAACACGCTTTTTTTATACGTGGTAGAGCCATGCCGCAGTTGTATTAGTAGTATAGCTGTAGCAAGAACGGGTCAGCTCGACCAGGGAAGGACCACGCTCTCACAGAATATAAGCGTCAAATAGTAGCTTAATGCTATATGTTTTGTATGGTGAGTGTAGAGAACCGGACACCCTTTTCACTGGAAACGAGCCATTCCATCGTAGTCCTCACGGGTGACAACGCATCTGCATTTTGATTCGTAATCGAGGAAAGATGTAGATGTTTATGGGCCACAGGCCACAGCGGCTACTTACCATCAGGTGTGCTCGTTTGTCACCCTTACCTATAAAAAAACGCACTGGTTGTATAGTCTCATTTTCAGATTCTGAGGTATAGCTGACGAGAAGATGTGTCGTAATTTCCTTAACGCACCCAGCCGAGTTGAATCCGTCTATTGACCTCTCGGTCGAAGTTGGAATTTACTTTTTTTTTTACATGGGGAAATGCTTACGCATACCCGCCTCGCGGGGTCAAGGACGTGTTATGTCGGACTCGCACTAACTAAAACTCCACGGTGTTCCATACACCATGGGGTATAAGTCAGTGGGGTTTTAGTTAATCAGTCAGTCAGTTATGGGAACGCTTTCGCAGACATCCGCGGCCCCACCAGCGCCAGTTGCCCCATGATGGCACCTCCACTTCACTTGGACTACTCCTCCCCGTTTTACTTCCCAGTTAAGGTGCACCTTCCTCCACGACCTCCAACTAAACATGCGCAACAGACACCCCAGTGTCCGATACGCGAAGGCTATGGGATGGGGCCAGAAAAAACGAGTACTCAGAAGCACTAAGCTTCCCCGACCCCAGCGGTGGATCTGGTTTACGGCTCCGCCGCCTACCAAGATTCGGTTCCAGAGGGCAGGAAGAGCGGCGCGGTAGAGGAAGAGGACACCCCTCTTGCCGCAGCCCAACAGCACACATCCGAAGTGGGCTCGCCAACCCCTTTTGGAGTGGCCTCCTCAGGCTGGCAGGCAGGCTGGCTTCACCTTGGGCCAGCCATGTAAGTTTCTCTTTGTTCACCGCGGGTCACCAAGCCACGGCTACTAAGGCTACCCGCCACGACAAGGTGGAAGGAAACCCGTTCGGGGGGGAAGTTTGACTTACCTAGTCGGACTATTTGTCCCAGGTAAACGTACTCGTCAACAACTTCGAGCATAGTGCTCCCAACAACTACCGGCATAGGTGTGATATGGACATTAAACATGATCTTTGTGTTGTCCATGTTCATCTTAAGACCTATCCGTTGGGAGGCACTATTGATGCCATTGAGCATAGTGCTTAAGTCCTCCAGCGATTCTGCCATAAGGACTATATCGTCGGCAAATCGAAGGTGAGAGATGTACTCGCCAATGATGTTAATACCGTATCCTTTCCAGTCCAGAAGCTTGAAAACGTCTTCCAATGCAGAGGTGAAGAGTTTCGGGGATATAACGTCACCCTGTCTTACACCTCTCTGCAGTTGGATAGGTTTCGTACTCTGGTTGTGTACTCGGAGAGCCATCGTAGCCCTACTGTACACTACTGTACAAACACTTCAGTACTTCGATATATCGACAGTCCACTTGACACCACTGAAGGGACTGTGGCACCGCCCAAATTTCGACAGAATCAAAGGCTTTCTCATAGTGCACATTCACCAGGCAAAGTGGCAGATTGTACTCTTCGGACTCCTGGATAATTTGCCGAGGGTTGTGTATGTGGTCTACGGTGCTAAAGCTTTTTCGGAAACCGGCTTGTTCGGGAGTCTGGAAGTCGTCGAGTCTGCGTGCGAGACAATGCGTAATGACTCTCGCGAACAGCACGTACACGCGGTTCAGAGGGATATTGGTCTGTAATTCTTTTTTTTTTTTTTTTTTTTTTTTTTATAGGATAGGGTGACAAACGAGCACACAGTCCACCTGATGGTAAGTGGTTGCTGTGGCCCATAGACATCTACATCTATCCTCGATTACGAATCAAAATGCAGATGCGTTGTCACCCGTGAGGACTAAGATGGAATGCCTCCTTCAAGAGAGCGTTGTCACCTTTCTTGAGGACAAGACCACCGCACTTTTGCTCCACGCCTCGGGAGTAGTGCTTCCATGGAGGACGGAATTAAAGAGCCTCTGAAGAATTTCAAGTACCGGTTTTCCATCCGCTTTCAGAAGCTCCGCTGTAGTTCCATCCTCGCCCGGGGACTTGCCGTTTTTAAGGTGTTGGAGAGCCATTCTGATCTCGCTCAGACTGACGTCCGGGATATCGTCGGAATAGTGTCGTATAAGACTTGCTCTTGGATCGCTACTCACACTTGTGAGTGGCTCCAACGATAATGTGTACAGCTGCCCATAGAACCTCTCAATCTCACTCGAAATCTCAGGTAACCCGGAAACGATGCGTTTTTCAGCTTCAACAGTTGGCTCTTTCTGACAGATAGATCCCTGGCAAAGACTTTTGAGCCTTGGTTCCACTCGATCGCTTCTTCAAAACGAACTATACTGAAGTTGCGTAAGTCGCGCCGCGTGTATTTTGATATCTGTCTGTTCAGTTTCCTGTATGCTGCTAAATCTGCTGAAGACTGCAACTTCAATTCCCGTCTTACAGCCATGAGATTAAGAGTGTGATCAGAGAGTTTTTGTGTTCGTCTGCGGCGAGTCTTTCAGAACTTAGCTCCAACCACACGGACAGTTTCCACCAACTTTGACATTCATATCGTCCACTACTTTGAAATCTTATAGGCACTGGAAACGGTTTTATAACTCGAGCTGAAAGGTTTCTGGACTGTCTGATTAGAGCACGAGGGGGCGCAGCATTGACTTCATTAGATGAGACCTCTCCAACTTAACATTTAGGTTCAGTGTGTCTCTAACCATTCGGTGATCGCTGTCAGTTTTCACCCTCTCGATCACTGAGACATCGCTGAACAGTTGGCGTCTGGTCGTCATAATGAAATCAATCTCATTT